AGGTCTGCTAGCCAAGGTCTTGAGAAGGACACAGCGTAGGAGGACGTCCATCCAGAGGAGGAGGCTGACGTGACCAAGGGGACATAGCACAACTGTATCACACACTAAAAGTATGATTCTTCTGAAAAGGAACAATGAGTGGTGTCTCAAAAGTCATGAAGTGTTTGGGTGAGTTGTATGTGGGTGTATTGGACAAGTCTTAGCATGTCAAACCTATCAAGTCTTAGCATGTCAAACCCATCTCAGGGATACTTAGCGGAGGCCTATTAGGACAAACGAAAGAAGTTTCTACTTGATAACAAGTAGTTTGTGGAATGTATTAGGCAAGAAGGTGGTTCAGATCGAAAATATTTATATAGGATGGATAAACAACAAGGTCCTAGTGTAGTATATCACAGGTAACTTATATTCAATATCCTGGGATAAACCATAATGGAAAAGAATATTTAAAAAAAAAAAAAAAGAATCTTTAAATATCATCTACTCCAGTGACTCATAACTTCTTCTGGATCACAGAACCTTTGAGAATCTGAGGTTAGCTGAGGACTCTAGGCCAGTTGTTTGGGAAAGAGGGTGGCACCCATACAATTTTACATAAAGTTTTAGGAGATTCACACCTGAATCATTCTGAGAGCTCCCTAGGAGTCCACAGACCCCCCCACCCAGGTTACGAACCCCCAGTCTATTCTACTTTTACAATGACAGCACTGAGGCCTGAGAAAAGTGACAAAACCTATGTGATGTCAGTTTGGGTCCTAAAGAGGAGAAAGCCAACCAAACGGTAAAATCTGAGGGCATCACGTTTAAATAAAAGTATTCAGGAAAGCTCTGTGTCTTCAAAGCATCTGAGAAGCATAAGAACAAACTACAGCCTTAGAGAAAGGAGAGGAGAGAGGGAAAGACAACAGGAAGGTGTGCTTCGGTGAACTCAGAGGGAACATCCCTTACCGCATGGAAACTAGGTTAGTTCCCAGAAAGGTAAGAACAAAGGCATAGGCCCTCTTTGAGCATGGAAATCAGAAGTAGAAGGGAAAGCATGTGATGCAACTTACAAGAACAAAAAGAAAATTAAAAATGTTAAAATACCCACCTAATAAGGGGAAACATTTTCCTTTGACTCACTCAGAAGGGAAACCTCTAAATATATACAGAGGGTGTTCAACAGTGTACAGGATGGAGAGACATTGGCTGCAGTTCTTAGAAAAATGATCAGCAGGTATGCGCTCAACACCTAAGGTGCAGGGAACTAAGACCTGCAGTTGCAGTGTCCACCCCTACAAAGGTGTTAGGAGAAATGGAGGATTGCAGTAGAAACGCTCATGCCAGCTGCAGAGTACGGGGCGACTTAAGGTGGTCTCTTGATGGGTACCTCCCTCAGCTATTCTGATGTCTTCCCCTCTGGCAGAGCACAGCCCGGCAGATCAGGGTGTGTTGGGAGGGCAGGGAACTTGGAGTCAGAGAGAATGGGGTTCAAATCCTGGCGCTTCAATTCCCAACTCTGACATGTTGGGTCTTAGTTTTGTAAGATGAGGTAAATATTGATTGCCTTATTGAGTTATTATGAGGATTAAATGAGGTTTCCTGGAGATGAATGAACCTAGCACAGAGCAAGTAGCTGGGACTCGATAAATACTTGCTGACAGGGAAAAGAAACAAAGGTAGTTTATTTTATCCTCCTTACTCCATTCCGCCTAGGAGAGGAAGATGGGGTTGGGGGACAGAAGAAAGTAGAAGGTGGAAGAATTCTTTTACTTTGGTTATACAAATCCAGAATTTAGAACATTTAGAATTTGCACTCTGTAAATCAGTGCTTCTCGTTATTCTCTCTCACCTCGAGTAAATCAGTGCTTCTCGTTATTCTCTCTCACCTCGAGTACAAAGGCATCCTCTTGGAAAGCTTTTGGTTCCTTCATACTTGGATACGTATTTGCCATCACTCGTCTGATTGTTTTGGGAAAGAAACATACCCCGCCACAGACTATGAGAAGGCTGAGCGTGTTAAGTTTAGTGCTGCCATCAGATTCACGTTACAACAACGCCGATGTGTTGTCTGCGGACTGATCTGCAAGGAGATTGAGTCTAGGTGGTAAGCAGTTGAACTAACTGGTGGTAATTAGTTTTATACGTAAGCTGGGATCTTTTTCTTAATAAATGCAAGAGGAAAACTCAGTGGAGTCAGATTGTTCTGCAGGACCTGCGGAGGTTTCCTAGAGCTGAAAGCCAGGAGCCGAAGTCTTTCAGGTCTTCTAACTCCTCTGGCAGAGTTTGCCTGCGGTCTTCCAGGAGCTGCACCTCTCCCTCTACCATCCGGGCAGCTCCTCGCCTCCCACGCTGCCAGAGGTGAGCTCTCCAGCCACCCGGAGGTGACAGTCAATCTGTCCTCCACCGCATCTCCAGTGGGCAGTGAGTGGTGTGCTGGCCCCCTAAGCCAGCTCAGCCTTGCCCGGCCCTGGTCCTCAATTCATAGGATGAGCACAGCCTAATTACTACATTCGAACTTCAGAGCCAAAAAAGATGTTTATGTAAGTCATGCCAAAGCCTCTTATTTTCCAAAGAACTTGAAATCCAAAGAAGTTAAGCATTTTGCTCAAAAATCAATAAATTACTGGGAGACCCTGTCCTGGAACCCAGTTTCCTCCCTCCCAGTCCAGTGTCCCCTGGGAGGCCAGTGTGGGTCTCCAGAGAGGGGAGGTCTGAGGAGAAGAGATTTGGGGTATGTGATGAGCAGAGGCACGCCATCTCTGAGACATGCACGCAGGTTGGGAGAGCAGAGACTCGTGCCGCTTCTAGAGGGGCTCAGGGCCACGTGGAGGTGGAGTCCTCTGCCCTGTCCACGTCGCCAGGACTTCCTGATGGCCTCTAGCCTGGGGACATTTTATTTTGGGCTTCAAGGCTTTGGCACATGCCCAGAGCTGGAAGAGAATGCTTAGTAACTCATAGGAGCACCAGGTGTTTTTTGTGGATCCAGAGGGATTAACAGCCCCAGGGATGCAGGGTCAGATTTCTGAGGGACCGCTGTGAACTGAAGGTAGAAAGGCAGCAGGGCCACAGAGCAAGGACACATGAAGGGCTGCTCACTCGGAAGAATGAAACAAAAGCTCCAGGCCAAGAGGGCCGACTTGTGTTTCTGTGTGCAAATATGGAAGCAAAGCTGTTTCTGGATCAGCAATGATCACCTGCTTACTGTTGATCCGGGAGGGCAGTGCAGTGGGGCGGGGCGGGGGGCGCTGGTGGCTGTTTTTCTAAACATGTGAAAAACTGGAATGTATTTCCAAGAGTCTGAAATGTACTTAGCATGAGATAATAGTCCCTTTATCCCCAGCCCTGGCTGAGGTCCTGGTTAGAACTTTGTCCACTTTTAGGCTTACAGAAGGGTGTACACTAAGACCCGGGAGGGTTTGGCAGCATCACTGGCCAGCAGAAATATAACGTGAGTCACGTATGTAATTTAAAATTTTCTGGTAGTAAAATGGAGTAAGTGAAATTAATTTTAGTTATATTTGATTTAACCAAACATATCTAAAATAGTATCATTTTAATATATAATCAGGATCATTGTTGAGCTATTTTATACTAAGTTTGGGAAATAATTTTGTAAAAAATAATTTCGTAAAAAGTGTAAATAATTTTACACTTATGGCACAGTTCATACTGGCCCCATCTCAAGTGTTGAGTAGATACATGTGGCTACTGGCTACCATATTGGATAGCGTAAGTTCGGAGGAAGAGATATATAAAGCTGTATATGGTTAGAAAGTGGGACCAGGGAAAGACAAAACATACGCCCAAAGGGAAAAAATGTCTGAAAGTAAACAGCCTTCAAAGTGAAGGGCGAGTCCCTGTAATGGATATCAATGGTTTCCATCTCCACCAAAGGTCCACATGCTGTACCCACCTCTACTCCACCCACCCCACTCCCCCCCCCAAAAAACTGGTTTACATTTCCGCTGTATGAGATGTTTGGCTTAAATCTAAGGAATGCATTTCAAATAGGGAGAAACTGAATCTTACCTAACAGGATAAATATTTTTCTTGCTGTCTTCATTTATTCCACAGACGTTAAAGTAAGCAACCAGGTGACTCTCAGGGATGAGTTGAGTTTGTACTAGATGTTAAGTTTGTCTAGATGTGAAGGTTGCGGTGACGATCATCCTCTGGTTTGCACATGACCTGAGTCCAAGGAGGGTATTAGCTGGGTCAGGATCCCTTTTCAGAACTGCGGATCCTTGAGTTAACGATTGGATGATATCCATTACTGCACACTGGACCTTTTACACAAAGAAAAGGTATTCAAGAAAAGTTACAGTGCCTGTTTTCAGGAGAGGCAGAAGCTGGGTGTTGCTATCATCCTTACCCCAGCTATCCCATCATGAGCCAAGAGGGAGGTGGTATATGGCGACTAGAACCTGAGAGGTTCAGTACTCAGTGGCTTTGCCACCTTGTGAAAATCTTCAGAATTCCATGAGCCTTAAAATTTCCTTTTCTGCCCTCCCCAAGTCAAAGGGTGAGTATAAAAGTCATGTGAGGTAATGGACCTATATGTGCTTTTTTTTTTTTTTTAAGATGTTGGAGGTAGGAGTTTATTAATTAATTAATTTTTGCTGTGTTGGATCTTCGTTTCTGTGCGAGGGCTTTCTCTAGTTGTGGCAAGCGGGGGCCACTCTTCATCGCAGTGCGCGGGCCTCTCACTATCGTGGCCTCTCTTGTTGCGGAGCACAGGCTCCAGACGCGCAGGCTCGCTAGTTGTGGCTCACGGGCCTAGTTGTTCCGCGGCCTGTGGGATCCTCCCGGACCAGGGCTCGAACCCGTGTCCCCTGCATTAGCAGGCAGATTCTCAACCCCTGTGCCACCAGGGAAGCCCCCCTATATGTGCTTTGAAAGCGACTTTAAAAAAAAAAAAAGATGCTTTACAAAAGAAAGGGACAGTGGGACCTCCCTGGTAGTCCAGTGGTTAAGACGCGGAGCTCCCAATGCAGGGGGCATGGGTTTGATCCCTGGTCGGGGAACTAGGATCCTGCATGCCACACGGCTCAGCCAAAGAAAAAAGGGATAGTAAAATATCAAGTGGTTCTTAATGTAGCTGATTCACCAAACCTCTTTTAAATTTAAGTGTGAAATATTTGCTAATGATTGATTCCAGTCACTCCTTTAGGATTAAAGTTGATTCGAAAGATGCTATGGGGCTTTGGTAAACTGGAGGTCATGTCAATAAATTGTCTGCATCCTCTCTTTGTACTGCACTTGACCTGAGGTTGTTAGGCCACCAGCTGGAGTTTGGAAATATTTTCTCTCTTTATGAGAACTTTTATTTTCCTGAGGTGAGCCAGACCCACCAGTCTTGGCACACTGTAGCTAAAGAATCTCGGTGTTGGGTAACTGAGGTGCTCTTCAGCCTTGCTCCCCAAAGTTGGTCTGTGGACCAGCAGCATGGGCACCACCAAATAGAAATGAACAGGCTTAGGATGCATCCCAGATGTGTCAGATGGGAATCTGCATTTTTAACAGGATCCCAGGTGAATCTGACATACATTAGAGTTTGAGCAGCAGTGTTCTACAATATCCCATCTAGCAGAAGTCAACACAGCCTCAGCTTGAACAGCTGCTGGGACTGACCACTCACTTCCTCTCGAGGCACTCCCTTCTGTTGGACAGCTCTCATGTTCAGAAAGTTTTACCTTCTATCAAGTCAAAATCTGCCTGTAGGTATCACCCACTCAGTGCTGCCACACAGAAGCCCATATAGTAGATGCTTGGGAGTGTCATCATTTTCTCTCTAATTTGTTATGCAGAAGCCTTGATCCAGAGGCTGGATGGGCAGTGAGTGGGGCCACACAAGGTCAGCTCCCAGTCACCTGGCAAAGGCCCGCGGGTCCTGAGATGTCTTCTAAAGAGCAGAACCCTTGCAGTTCTGTCTCTTCTCCCCGAGTCCAAGGGCGCTGGTTTAAGAGATTCCAGTTTGGAGAACTTGAAAAGGTTTTCCAAAAGGATGAGAGTATAGAAGTGATGGCTGGGATGAAAGCTGGTCCTGCAGGCCGTGCTAATGGATGAGAATTTACAGCGGAGATGAACAGGAAGGGATGGTGTGGTGAGGCAGTGTTACCTCTTGCTAGCTGTGTGACATTGGGGAATGCACTAAACCCCTCTGAGCATCCGCTTCCTGGGCTTTAAAAGAAAATGGGATGATAAACCCTGTCCTGCCTGTCTCCAGGGTTTCTGTGGGACTCATTGAAAATAATGTCAGTGAGCACACTTAATAATGAGGGAAATGGTCCGAGGATGAAAGAGAAGGTCCAACGGGACAGTAGGTGAATCCAGGAGGCAGGTCTACCACTAACTTGCTGGCTGACCTCAGGGGAGGCCCTCACCCTCTCTGGGCCTTCCTGTGAAACAAGTGGGTCACACACTAAAGATCTGAGTGCTCTTCTAGAAGGCCCTGGAGTTGCTGTGACTCATCACTATTATTGCACGTTACCTGGAGGGTTTCTCCAAGGATGGCTCTTCAAATACTCATTTAGGGAGACTTCTTAGAGCTTGGATTTGAATCCTCTCTGGGATAAATAATGCCAGACATTCTTCCAGTGAAGGCCTGGCCTGTGCTATAGGATCCTTACTTAAAAGACAGATCCGCTTGGCCATGACTGCACCTTATTTCCATGTCAGCATGTGGGACCTAAGCTGGTGAGTGAAGAGTGATAGTTTCATTTCTACCACTGTGTCAGGACACACCATCCTGTTTCTGGAAGCAAGCTCTGCCCCATGAGATATCAGAACTCATCGATCGCATACTTAGCTGGAGAGTATCATGTGCACGTTTTTCCTGGGGAACAGTCTCACTTGATACGTCACATATTACCAAGGAGTTACGCACGGGAAAATGGCATACCTGATACTTTTATGAGCCTGCTCTGCCAGAGGAGGTTCCCAGTCAGAATAAGTGGAACTGGCTTTTGGTACAGCAGCCCTTCCATAGATGCTTGCCAGCTGAGAGCAAGGGGACCAACGTGTGTGGTTACAGAGGGACATAACTGTTCCTTAAGGTAGCCCTTCTGTGTCTCTTCCCTGCCAATCTGGGGTCCCTGTGTTGTTCATTCTCACCTCACTGCAGCCATGTTCCCAACTGCTCATTTCATTGCCTGGAACCTTGCTTCTAACTCTGTACATTGCATTTTCTCCTCTGCACCCACCGTGTTGTCTTGGAAACTCGGTGGCCATAGGCCACGAGTATCCGGTGTCATTGAATGTGATGGTGTGGTATGTGTATTTGCTCACACTTTTATTTTGAATCCTTTCCAATGTGACATCTGCTAAAATGTCTCCCTTATAATTTGCTTGGTGATCACAGCCTTCTCATCATTCATTGAGAGCAGGACCTGATCTCACAGAATCTGAAAAGAGCTATGTGGTAAGATGCCTGTTGAATAAGACTGTAGCTTTTCTAAAGAGAATTCTTACTGAAGAGAATTCTTACTGATTTGTAGAGTCTAGACTGGAGTAATGCCTGGTTAACTCACAGAGCCATTATTTACAAGAATTATATGGCTATTGCAGTAGAGAGAGATGTTAGGCCACCCTCTCCCCTCAAAAAAAAAAAAAAGCAGAGGAATTTAGAGACCATATTTCTACTCTGCCTACATGTGGGATTAAATTAATATATTAGTGCATGATTGGGGATACATACTTGCATTTCTATCCTGAAATTATTCCATTTGTAACAGTTACTCACTAATTACGGGCTTTTATGCTGCTGCCTTTTTTTTTTTTTTAAATATTCATACTAAATCCCAAATTCTTCTGTATCTTACCTGTTTTTTCCATGCTTACACCTGGATTCCTCCTGCACTCCACTACTGGAATATCTATTTTTTTAACCTGGATCTTCAACTCTGTTGTTTCCCTGGACTTATGTGCTTCGTCTGGAATGTTACATCTCTTCCTCTCTTTCTTTTTTTTTGTCCCCATGTTGACTGTTTTATGGGGGTTTCTGGATATCTCGGGGCCACCACAGGAAGCAGTTTGCAATGAGATCATAAACATTGCCGAAAAATCTGTTCATTACTGCAGCACTGTTTCTCATCCCCTTGACTTTCATCACAAGGTATCCCCTTCTGACAATAAATCATCTCTAATCATTTCTCAGCAACCTCAAGCCCAGCAGCGAAGAGTCACCCCAGACAGGAGTCAAACCTCCCAGGATTTGTAAGTACACTTGGCGAACCTCAGTTCTCGAGTTCTCAGTAGACCGTTGGGCTGAGGAAGTGGGTCACTGACTGACTGTGGGAGGGGCAGCCATTTGGGGGAGATGAACCAGTCACTCCAAGCTTCTCTGAGGGTTTCTAGTTAAGGCTGTTTCCCATCAGCCAACGTGAAAATAGGTGGCAGGTAAATAAAGGAGGTCACGGACTCTTGGGGGAGAGAGGTAAAGAATTTACTGCCATATAGGGCAACTGGGAGCTGCGCGGACTGGTCTCATTCCTAGTGCTGTGACAGTGTAGAGGAAGGAGTGTTAATTCTGACTGGAGAGGAATGAATAGGGTTGATCCATTCATTTAAAAAAAAAAAAGTATTGGATATCTATGTTCTAAGCACAAAGGAGTCAGCTCCATTCACAGAGGAAGGGAGTTCCGGAATAAGCATTGAAAGACAAATCGGATTTGAGAGCTAGAGCAGGGAGGTAAAAGGTCTTCTCAGCTGAGAAAACCAAATGTGCAAAGGCCCGGAGTAGGTAGTGCGTTTGGAGAACATCGAAAAACGCCTGTGGCCACGGTGTGCAGTTCATGGAGGGAATGGAGACAAAGCTCAAGGAGCAGGTTAGGACCAGACTGTAGAATCCAGAATGCAACTGAAATAAATTTGGATTTTAGTCTGCATTCACTCAGGAGCCACTGAAGGTTTTTAAAATCAGGACCATACTGGGAGTTCCCTGGTGGGTCCAGTGGTTAGGACTCAGCGCTTTCACTGCTGTGGCCCCCCGGCTTCAATCCCTGGTCGGGAAACTAAAATCCTGCAAGCCACGCAGCGTGGCCAGAAAAAAAAGAGGAACACATTAATTGGATTTCGTTTTAGGGAGATACATCAGTCAACAGAGTGGAGAGTGGATTTCAGAGACGAAGGACAAAGACAGTGGTTTGGAGATATGAACACAGCAAAAAAGTGGTGAGGGCCTGAGCTAGGAAAGAGTGGGCCTCTGGTGCATGGAAGAATATAAGATTAGATAAGAATATAAGATTCCCCGAGGAGATAGGGAGAAAGGGAGAAGAGAACTGAGGATAGATCCTTGGGGAACCAACTTTTAAGGCAACAGAGTAGCAGCCAGCAAAGGAGACAGCGGGAGACACAGGCGAGGGTCTAGGAGCACTCACTTGTGTGCCACAGAGCAAGCAGTGTGTGGCCAGTGGTGCCCCTGCTTCAGAGAGGCGAGGAGGGTAGGAAATGAGAAATGTCCTCCAGGTGGCACCTGGAGCAATCGTTGGTGACCTCTGCAATGACAGCGCGGCTGCAGGCAGACCCTGTGTTACAGAGGGCTGATGGTGAGTGGGCAGAGCGGGCGACAGGGAGGCTGTAGGTTCAGGGAGTAGCAGAGACGGGGGAGTTGTTCTTAGGATGCAGAGGCTTAAGCACATCTATACTTGAGAAGGAGTTAACAGAATCGAAACATGTGAGAGAGAAGACGTTAAGTCGAGGAAATAGCCCAGGGAAGGGAGTTTAGCCTGGCCAGGAGCAGGGACCCTTCCTTACACATGGCAGTAGGGGCAGGAGGGGAGGAAAATTAAAGTTCTGCTCAGAGGCGGGGGAAGGACTCTATGGAACCGTGTCCGAACAGCATGAAGCCCCTCCAAAATTAGAGCCAGTCGGGCACCCAAGCAGCAAGGCTGCAGGACTGTTTCCAGCCGGTCTCCGCTGTCTGGGGTGAGACAGTGAGGCAGATAACAGGAGTAATCTCCCAGAGCTGAGACTGGCAAAGCAGCCACGGCGGCAGTAAAGGGCCTAAGGCATCGTAACGAGTCCAGGTTGGGTAAGAGACAGCAGGCAAATACAGAAACAGCAAAATGTATTCATTTACCAACTGGAAATCCATCTGCAACTCTTAATTCCTCATTAGAGACCTTCCTTCTGGCAGGCAAATCCATCTACCAGAGTTTCACTACATTTGAATAAATATGTAAAATTAAATTGCCCCTTTGGTTTTCGCAGAGAGCAGAACCTCTTGTTTCTAGGAACTGACTGCACTTGTTTCTAGTCTCTCTTGCCCACATGCTGGAATTCACTGACATCCACTGAAAATGGTAGATGATGGGTTGGTTTGCAAAGTTTTACCTGCTACTGTTGTGTTTCAAAGTAGCAAGTAAACAGAACTGTGACCTGGTGCATAGTAGGTGCTTCTTAAATATCTATCGAAAGAATAAATGAAAACAAGCGTTTATTTGTTGCCAAAACAGGTATCAGATTTCACAAGTAGTCCAGCTTTTTCCAGAGCCTGTTGTCAGAACAGACCAAATTGCCTTAGGCCAACTAACTAGCAAATAAAAATCTTAACCCCAAACATCACTGGGATAGAAATGCTTTCAAGAGTTTCAGAAAAGTGGCATCCACGTTTAAAAGCAATTAATGAAATGTGTGTTGGCACGTAAAGAAACTCAAGGTACTTTTGCTAAACAGTGAGGCAATTGAGATGTACTTTTAAAAATTATATGTATACATGACAGTTGCCTCATGTTCTCCAATGTATGTGACCAGAATATAATGTCTGTCTCTGGACCTAAGTAACTTCTGATTACCTTGATAATCTACATGTATTACCCTATGTTAAGAAAAGGACTAGATTAACTTTAAAGGGGGAGCATCTAGACAAAAAAGCTTGGCTGTGGTAACCAAATGAAACTGAATAAAAGGACTGATCAGGACTTGCTTCTCAGAAGTTCCCCATCCCTGTGAATCTTAATTTGCTTATCACATGGATCTCCCCAAATTATTAGAGAAACAGCCAATAAAACACTTTTATCCCCACTGATGAGTCGGAAACACTACCCAAATGTTGATTCAGCTGAAATGGTTTTTAAAACTCATTATTTAATTCCATCAGTGTTTGAGTCCATGTTTATTTCTCTCACAGATTTAGCTACCAAGCATTGTATAGCTATATACCACAGAATGCTGATGAATTGGAACTCCGGGATGGAGACATTGTTGATGTCATGGAAAAGTGTGACGATGGATGGTTTGTTGGTAAGTGACATCGTACTTTTCTTACCAGTTGTGTATTGAAGGAAGAACTAGGCGTGATGAGTCACGAAGAGAGCACTATTCTCTACACAGAGAAGGGCCTTCTCAGTTCCTATACCTCCATTAGGAACGATGAGCCACCCAGTTTATGTTTGCTCTCAGGGCAGTGTGGATGATAATAACACTGAACCTGACAACCAAATATGCCAACATCTACTGCATGGAAGGGCAGTTGCCAGCTTCATCCATTGAGTTCTGTTTGTATTTCTTTTTTTTTTTTTTTTTTGTCTGTGCCATGTAGCTTGCAGGATCTTAGTTCCCTGACCAGGGATGGAACCAAGGTCCCAGCAGTGAAAGCGCTGAGTCCTAACCACTGGACCGCCAGGGAATTCCCTCTGTATTTCTATTGCGCATCTGTCCGTCCTACATTCGGAAATTTTAATTTTTAAAATGCCTGTGGAACACCACAAGAACACTTGAGCCTAGCTTTCTGCCATGAAGCTCAAACATATGTGTAGACATTCCAAAGACCTCATTTACTCCAGGCTTCTAATAACTTTCCTCAAAGCAACCTGCTTAATTAAAGGAGTCACTTTCATAGGATGGGGGAGAGAAGGATCAGAATTTGAGATTCTGTAACAAAACAGATGCTTGATATACTTTCTTACTGACGTTCTCTCAACAAACAGCCTGTAAGGCAAGAATTATCCTCTTTCCACAGATTCAACAACTGAGGCCCAAAGAGGTTAAGTAACTAGCCCCAAGGTCACCACCCAGGTAGCAAATGGTAGGGCCAGTATATGAACTTAGGCTCGTCTCTCCCTGAGCCTCTGTTTTTTCTGCTCAGGCACAAATATAATCCTGGGAACCACTGACACTCTTTGTGTCAGTTTACCCCTTAAACAACTGGCTTTACCTTTATCTTCTTTCCAAAGACCAACTCTTTCCTATCTCCCTAGAAAAGCTTTGCTAAATCGAAATAATGTCAGGACTGGGGCCGTGAGAACAAGGCTTCAGCACAAATAGGAAGCCAGAAAGATTTGCCTTGGCCTCACCAGCCTCCTAGAAAACTACCCCATCCTCCTCCCAGGGCCCACAGAAGTTTTGTGGTCCTCACCACGTTGAGGTTCTATTCAGAAGGAAACCAGGTCTGAAAGTCAGCAACATTCTAGTGCAGTGCAAGTCCAATAGAAACATAATGCAAGGAATTCCCTGGCAGTCCAGTGGTTAGGACTCTGTGCTTTCACTGCTGAGGGCCCGGGTTCAATCCCTGGTCAGGAACTAAGATCCTGCAAGCCTCACAGCACAGCCAAAAAAAAACCATAATGGGGCTTCCCTGGTGGCACGGTGGTTGAGAGTCCGCCTGCCGATGCAGGGGACACGGGTTCGTGCCCCGGTCCGGGAAGATCCCACATGCCGCGGAGCGGCTGGGCCTATGAGCCATGTCCACTGAGCCTGTGCATCCGGAGCCTGTGCTCTGCAATGGGAGAAGCCACAACAGTGAGAGGCCCGCGTACCGCAAAAAAAAAAAAAACCATAATGCAAGCTATGTATGAAATTTAAAATTTTCTGAAAGCCACATTGAAAAAAGTACAAAGAAACCAGTGAAATTAATTTTAATATATTAAGCCCAGTGCATTTAAGATATTATCATTTGAACATATCAGTATGAAAAATTGCTAGGGACATATTTTACATTCTTCTTTTTGTACATAAGTTTTTGAAATCCAATATGTATTTTACAGTCGCAGCATCGCTCGGTTCAGGCCAGACATGTTTCAAGGGCTCAGGAGCCACACGTGGCTGTCCTATTAGAGTGCAGGCTAGTAGGGATTTGTTAAACTCTTCCAGGAGTGTTTACATTTTTATGAGAACTTGGGATGGGGTGAGGGGCATCCGCCCGGCAGCTAGATAAAGGAAATATTTTAGATTCCTTAATTCCTCAAACACTTAGAAAAGTGGCCTTGTGTTCAGACTATGAAGAAAATAACCCAGGAGAGCTCGTTTTTCTCATCTGTCAGGAAAGGTGCTCACCACTCATATGAGCACATCTCTGGGTTTTACCATCTCAGTTCTCTGCAGCCTCCTTGACCATCCCCCTGGGGTTTCAGCTAGCTGTTTTAGATGGCCTTAGCTTTGACACATTCTTCTAGCCTAGAAGTTTTACTTTGGGCAACAACTCCAACCCACTGATAGTGGCTGCTTGAAGTGTGATCAGCAGGATTCTGAAGCCCTATCCAAGCCGATCGGGGAAAGGATGCAATGATCACATTGTGATGTTTGCTAATGAGAGTGTAATGACGACACAACATCTATCTGCCACTCCACCCTTATCTCCCAGCTTTAGAGAGAGAATCCCAAGGGAAGGAACTATTGCTAGATTAGGGATCCAGCAATGCTGGATGTGGAGCAGCCCAGGAAGGGCTTGTTCCCTGGCAGCTCAATTTTCCTGGCTCAGAGGGAACCCTGACAAGGTTGGTAGTGAAGACAGGGAGTCAATCTGGGGCCTAGGCTCAGGAGGGAGATTTCCTTTTGCTGTGCAGTCATAGCCAGTGGACTTTAGAAATCCTACAGTTTAGAAATTCTAAATCCCAGTACCTTGTTGTGTTGGTAACTGTTCATTCTTCCATAAAGGAGAAGTACTGGAAAGAGCAATGGGCTGGGAGTCAGAGACCTGGATTCAAAGTCTGTCTCTCTGAGCTTGGGTTTCCTGTGAAAAAAATGGGAGTGTTAGAAATGCCCGCCTTGCTTATCACCCAGCATTATTCTGCAGCCTAAATGAGATAAGATAGGGGAAAGTGATTTGGAAACCAAATGCCCTTCTACAAGCTGCAGGATTGTTACCAAGGACTCTCTCTGAACTCAAATGGGTGAGTCTTCTCATTGTGTATTTTTTTTGTTTTTTTTTAATAGGTACTTCAAGAAGGACAAGGCAGTTTGGTACTTTCCCAGGCAACTATGTAAAGCCTTTGTATCTATAAGAAGACTGAAAACCACAGAGATGATTTTTATTGGAGGATGAAGCATAATTCATGAATTTGTCTCTTTATTTAAACATTGAGTCAGTAGGAAAACTAATGCAGTGGATAAAGAAAGAAGAAAAAGAGAGGACAGAGAAGTGTTGCATTTACTTACTGTCTAAGCTTACTGCGTGTATCAGGGCTGAACCACGCAGAAAAGGAATGAAGCAAGTTGGTATTTACTTAGCTGCTTCTGGGAGCCACTCCAGCCCTGCCCTCCCTGCCACCCCACCCCCGCCCCACCTTGAGTAATCTGACCTGCAGCATGGTCCAGGAGCAGTTAGGCCAGAAATGCTTCTTGCTGCTTCAGGCTTGACCGGCTTTGGCTCAAAAGGTCATTTAGCCTGCAGGAGCCCTCGGAGCAACAGGCAGATCCCCAGCCATCCTCCAAGGCTCCACACAGACTCCCCCAGTCGCCCCGGAGCCTGCCAGTCCCCTAGTGCTGTGAGAGACCCGTCAGGGCTGCCAAGGCGATCCCTGAACAGTAGTGGAGACCCCAAACTACCCAAGGCCCAGTCCCTCACTGGAGGTAGGTGGGGAAATGGAGATCAAAGTAGGCGCCCAGTGCATTCAGCCTGTGTGCAGCCACAAAAGCACACAAGGTTTGCCCCTGGAGCAGGGTGGCCAGGCAGACAGTTAAATTTGTATTTCCAGGTGACTGTAGCCTGAGGGCCCTTGCAGCGGCCCCTTCCCCGTATCACTGGCTGTTATGAACGGTCACCTTCAGGGCAGTGCCGAATGCCACTGCTGCTCTTTCTTTTCTGGGTTGTTTTGGGCCAGGACAGTTTGGGGTTGATAGGCCTATTCTCACAGAGAACCAAGGATGGTGTTCAGTGACTCACTGGATGCCAGGGGCCACTGATGAGCAAGCCACGCTCCAAGCCTTAGAAGAGGTTCACCGTGTCTCCATTTTCATTGGCCATAGGAGTCCAAGGACTACCCCAAATGTAGGAATAGGAATTATGTAGGTTATGAATCCTGACTCACCCTGTGAGGCTTCTCTTTAGAACAGAAGGTGCAGCTACAGTGGCCCTAAGAGTGAGGCCGTGATTCTGCCACTCCCAGGAGGCCAGTCTTTTGTTGGGGACTGAGGCTCCTGGGATGCCTGGGGTGTTCCATCACAACTTTATCCAATTCAAGGATGCTTACTGGCCACTCTGTTAGACACCTTGGAGAGAGAAAGATAGAAATGACTCATCCCCTGCCTGCTGGGAACTCAGAGGTGGTTGGAGAGACAGACACACAAAAATACTGAATCAAGAGAGACTGTGATAAGTGCTAAGAAGGGTGTGAGAGAGGAAGAGATGAATTTTCCCTGAAGGGACCCTAGAAAGCATTGTCATATTTCTGTCTCCATTAGCTCACCTTGAACAACTAGGATGCTGGAAGAACCTTTGTCTGAAGGTGGTTTATGGCTGGAAATACTTGGAACTGTTTCCAGGGTCTTCAAACTCTCATCCTGCCCACAAATACACATCCAAGGTCACAAATAGGAGTAGCAGTTCCAGGTTGATAGGGTGTGTACAGGAACCCTGACTCTTTGCATATAGCTCAGAATTGGCCTAGGACCCATGTCCCAGAGTCTTTATAAGCACACAGAGTTTGTCTTCAGTGCCTCAGCTTCTCCCTCCACTACGCATCTTAGGACCCCCACCAGCTGCCCACCCCCATCAGAGAGCCACAGTACCCTCACTCCCTGTCCCTCAAAGCATGCTCTCAGGAAAGCAACTGCCACTGACTCCTTCACAGTAAAGTATACATGACTGATAAGAGGAAGGTGTTATTTCTTCACAGAAACACTGGTTTTTAACTAGAACAGAGCAGAGCCTTAATCCCAAGGGGGAAAGGCTGTGGAACTAATGGTGGAGGTGGGGCTGGGGCTATAGGTGAGGGTGGATGAGCTTCTTGGGTAGAAAGGGACTTATTGATATTCCCTAAGAAAGACTCAGTGCTTTGGAAGGTCCACCTCACCATCCAAGGGCACTCTGTTTCTGTCTCTCCTCCCCGCTCCGAGTCTAGTTCAAGTGCATATCCACATGCATTTCACACAGCAGCATCACCCATTTTGGAATGTATATTGGCTAATGTGTTTCCTGGTCTTTCTTAGATGCAAACCATTCATAACACGATCTTATCTGTTTTTTGAGGGGTGCTTATTGATTAAGTAGGTAAGTTTGAACACCTCTTTAAATACAGCTAGAAAATAAACCAATTTGTAAAGCCACATTTGCATATGATGCCAGCCTCACGACTTTGTATATCTCCAGAATCCCAGGTATGCCTCACCAATTTGCCCATCTTTAATAAACTCATCTGTTAAAATCTGCATCAAACTTCAGCTTCCTACATATGACACAACAAGGAACAAAGGGTTCCAATTGCCCCTTTGTCTTCAGACATTTAGTAATACAAAATACCTATTTTTATGCTGAGATATTTATACAGGTTTATTAATCGCAAGTGCAACTAACTGGCGGCATGCCCTGCAACACATTTTGAATAGATTAGCCATGCTTCTGGGTAAAGGCAAGCCCCACACTACTGAACTTCTGCAGTCTTTCTGGGATCAGTAAGAGAAAAAAAATCACATGCTTAAGAAGTGGGACTGTAAATATGTATATTTAACTTTGTATAGTCCATGTACCTACTTTGTATAGAAAAATAATTTTAAAAATTTGAACCGAAGGGGGAGTAAGATAAGGAAGTCATGAAGTTTTTTTGCACATTTAAATGAAGGAATTCCAAAATAACTTACCTGCCGATTTTTAGCCCAAAAATAGCCCTTGTAAAGTGTTATAATTTTAAATAATCATTCTTTCTGGGAGAGAAGGTAACTGTTATCTCAATTATAGTGGTTTTTCTTATTTTGTTTTTGATTTTTTTTTTTTGCAGTCCTGTTTATCTGCAGTAGTATTAAGGCCTATTGCTAGAATAGGTTACCATAAAAAATATATTCTGAAAGAAAAATAACTGACATTATATATAACCAATTAAAGTATTGCCATTTAAATCATACACCAAGCGCATGTACTATGCAGACACAGATTTTTCTGTTCATCTATTTTCCTTTATGCAGTGGATCGATCTGACAAATAGATGTTGAATTACTACATCGGCTGTACATGGTATTTAATAAACTTCATTCAGAATTGCGTGGCATATGTTCTTACCATTCATTGTTTCCTACCCTTTCAAGTTTCTCAAATGAGACTTATATTCACCTCTTCAGTGGTGCACACTCTCCTTTTCCATTCTTACTTACATCTGGCTTCCCCCTCACTCCTTGAGGGCACCGCTTACTCTATTCTCAATAGGCTAACTCCGTGACACTCCGAATTGATTAATGTTGACCATTTCACCATTCTTTCTAAAATGTTTGTATTTGTTCTGATTACAAGAATAATGCACATGTCTTTAAAAGCAAAAGTGACCATTATAAAATATGTATAATGGGTCTCGATTTACTCCACAAGACATGGGTACAGAAAATGAGACAGCACTTAGTTTTTCTAAACAAGTTAAATCTGGCTACGAGTCCACAGTGGGTGAAAATGCAGTCTGTCCTTGTGTTCACTCCCAAACCAAGTGTGTCAAGGCTGTGGCACTAGGCATCCAGCCTCCCCTGGCATCTCCATTTGGGGTGGGGCCTGCTACAGCAGCATGGGTCTGTCCCATAGTAGAAAACCCCAAAGCTCCCACCCTGCCTCTTCTCATGCTGTCCTTCGCCCTTCAACTCAAAGCACCCATTCGCACTGCTACCCCTTTGGGGTGACTCGGTGGAATCTCCTTTGCTTAAGCCTTCAACAGTCCTGGGAGAAGGGTCATCTTCCAGGGGTCTGACAGCCTTGATACTGGGCCCTGAGTCACAAGCACTACTTCTTCCTTCCATCCCGTCCAACAAATCCATCAGCTCTACCTTCAAAATACCTTTAGAACCCAACCACTTCTATCACCACAGTCCAAGCCATTTTCTCACCTGGGTCATTGCAGTCACTTTCCAACTGGTCTCCCTGCTTCCACCCTTGCCCCCTCTACCTTAGTCTGAACAGAGCAACCAGAGTGATCCCTTTAGCGGCTACTCCTCTCCCTCGGAGTGGTGCAATGGCCTCGAGTCCAAAGGACACTGCCCTGCCTCCTCTCTCACCTCTGCCTTTCTCATTGTTCCTTGCCACCACACAGTCCTTCCGGCCTCACACTCATCAAGCACGCTTCAGCTTTAGGGTCTTACTGTGCTATCCCCTAGGCCTGAAAGGCCCTGCCCCCAGAGCTGCATGGCGTCCTTCCTTCCTTTAGGTCTTCCTGTTGCCCTCTCAGGGAGGCTTTCTCTAACCACTTTATATGTAATAGGATCCTACGGTCTCCAACCCCAGCATTCTATCCCATGCTCTTTTCCTCTGTGCTTCTCCAAACACTCATCACCATCTGATATTTGTTTTCACAATCAATTGTATCAAGTCCACGAGGGTAAGGATTCTGTCTTGCTGTTACATGCCCAACACTTAGAAGAGCGCCCAACTAGTTGGCACTCAGCCAACTAGTTTGAGCAAACAAATGGTTTGAGCAAACAAATGAGTAGATAAATGAATGAATTAAATTAAGCAATGAACCTCTCCAGACCAGAGATCCTAGAACTCAGAAAACTGACACTAATTGTGAAAGCAGTGAACCATCATCATGTCACTTTCTTACAGCAGCAAAAATAACAGAAATTAATCTCTTTAAATATTCTGGGCTTTTACAAACATAGAAAGTGAAAGTTCTCTGTAATTAAAGTCACCTCCCCACAGAGATCACCTAACTATCCAACAACGTATGATCCTCCAAGCTTTTCGCTTTGCGCATACAAAACACATCTCTAAACAAATGCTTTAGACAGTCTTACATGCTTTTTTTCCCTGTTAACAATAGAACTTGGACATGTTTCCATAATTTACTTAACCACCCCCCTATTGGTGATGCAACAGTTTGATGTTATTGCCAGCTTTTTACCACAACAAACAATGCAGCATTGAGTAGAATTATTGGCTCAAAGAGCAGGAACATTCCAAACGTTAAAGAAATATTGTCTTCCAAAAAAATTGCACCAGTTTACACTCCCACCAAATGTGTTATGTTTCCCCACCACCCAACTGTCTGCTTCCATGAAAGGCTCTTCCTTGGTCTGCCCACCTTTTCTGGCCAGCAGCTTCTCAGTCCCCTTTCTAGATCTTCACCACATCTCAGCCCTCTGTTACTTTCTCTCCACACATGCTCCTTCAGCAAGCAGACTCCCCACGATATAATTTGGCCCGAAGAGTCAATTGTCTGACTGCTCCTTTCATTGATAAGTAGTGGAAAACTAACATACTTGCTGGTATTGAGTCACATCCCTGGGAAGAAAGGAGCTGGAACTAGCCTCAGGCAGGAGTGAATCCAGAGACTCAAACTTTCTCTATATTTGTCTTATTCTTGGCTCTGTTGGTCTTGTTTGACTACATTTTCACCTCCTGAATGCAGTAATAGGAACTACAGCTGCAGGCAGCTCCAGCCTCACTCTTCCAGTTCTGTAACTCGAGACCAGGCAAAAGGGCCTTCCTGTGACTTCCCTGAAAACAATTCCAGACGCTGGCAGGCCCAACATGAATATTTAGTGTTCCTTGACTCATCACTTGGGTTAAACGGACTGGAGTGTGATTGGCAGGCCCACCAGAACATCATGGAATAGGGGACAGGAGAAGGCCAGGCGAGGGGGTGGACTGCTATAAGAAGGCAGCTGGAGAGATAACTCAATGTTCCAAACTGGACTTTAGGCATTATTGTGACAAACTGGAAAATGGGACACCATTTTCCTGTCCCAGGACAAACTTCAGTGTAGCTGAATGTTGGCTCTCTGTGCAGAAGGTCTGCTAGCCAAGGTCTTGAGAAGGACACAGCGTAGGAGGACGTCCATCCAGAGGAGGAGGCTGACGTGACCAAGGGGACATAGCACAACTGTATCACACACTAAAAGTATGATTCTTCTGAAAAGGAACAATGAGTGGTGTCTCAAAAGTCATGAAGTGTTTGGGTGAGTTGTATGTGGGTGTATTGGACAAGTCTTAGCATGTCAAACCTATCAAGTCTTAGCATGTCAAACCCATCTCAGGGATACTTAGCGGAGGCCTATTAGGACAAACGAAAGAAGTTTCTACTTGATAACAAGTAGTTTGTGGAATGTATTAGGCAAGAAGGTGGTTCAGATCGAAAATATTTATATAGGATGGATAAACAACAAGGTCCTAGTGTAGTATATCACAGGTAACTTATATTCAATATCCTGGGATAAACCATAATGGAAAAGAATATTTAAAAAAAAAAAAAAAAAGCATGTTTCTATGTGTATAACTGATCACTTTGGTCCACAGCAGATTGGCACAACATTGTAAATCAACTCTACTTCAATAAAAAACAATTTTTTCAAAAAAAAGGAGAATATTTAAAGAAAATTTAAGATGAACCCACAGATATAAAAGCCCTGATGAGATACTACGAATGACCACGTGACACTCTAGTTTATGAGCTCTCCCCTGCAGAACAACTACTCTGTTCTTCCAGCCCCCTCACTCTGGCATCATCAGAGGCAAAATACTGGATAGACTGAGTCTCTCTGGCCCCTTCTGGCTTGCTCGTTTTTAAAGTGACTTCTGACAAACTCACATGAAACTGCAAAAGAGGTAGATCTGAGAATAATCTTCAAAATAGCATATATCATGTAGATTGATGAGAGCTTATATTATTAAGGTCAGTGGATCTCAAAGTATGGTCCATGGACCCCTAGGAGTCCCTAATCCCTCTCAGGAGATTCATAATGTAAATTATTTTCATAATAATGTTAAGACACTTGTGGTAGCCAGCTTCCAAGAACGCCTTCAGTGATCCTCACCTCCGGGTATTCACACCCTTGTGTGGTCCCCTTCTGCATTCTATCAGGGTTGTGTGACCAATAGAATATGGCAGAAGAGATGGTATGTCAATAACAAGTCTAGGCCATAAAAGCCATTGTGGCTTCTGTCTTTTGTTTGAACTACACTTTAGAAATAAGTAAGTCCTAGTTGTTGTGTTGGATAAATGTGCTAATTCGTCCAAAAGGAAGCATTAAAATGAACAATGGGCTGTGACATTTTTCACAGAACTAGAAAAAATTATCCTAAAATCTATATGGAACCCATAAAGGACCCAGAATTGCCAAAGTGATCCTGAGGGACAAGAACAAAGCAGGAGGCACAAACCTCCCAAACTTCAGATAATACTACAAAGCTACAGTAATGAAAACAGTGTGGTATTGGCACAAAAACAGACATGTGGGTCAATGGAACAGAATAGTGAGCCCAGAAATAAACCCACACACCTATAGTCAATTAATCTTTGACAAAGGAGGCAAGAATATACAGTGGAGAAAAGAGAGTTTCTTCAGCAAGTGGTGTTGGGAAAGTTGGATAGCTGCATGAAAACCAATGAAGTTAGAACACACCTCTCACCATACACAAAAATAAACTCAAAATGGCTTAAACACTTAAACATAAGACATGACACCATAAAACTCCTAGAAGAGAACATAGGCAAAACATTCTGACATAAATTGTAGCAATGTTTTCTTAGGTCAGTCTCCAAAGGCAATAGAAATAAAACTGAAAATAAACAAATGGGACATAATCAAACTTAGAAGCTTTTGCACAGCAAAGGAAGCCATAAACAAAAAGAGAACCTACGAACTTGGGGAAAATATTTTGAATGATACAACTGACAAGGGCTTAATTTCCAAAATATACAAACAGCTCATACAACTCAATAACAAAAAAAAACAACCACCATTCAATCAAAAAATGGACAGAAGACCTAAATAGACATTTCTCCAAAGAAGATATACAGTCAACAGGCACACAAAAAGATGTTCAATATCATTAATTATTAGAGAAATGCAAATCAAAACTACAATGAGGTACCACCTCACTCTGGTCAGAATGGCCATCATTAAAAATTCTACAAATAACAAATGCTGGAGAGCGTGTGGAGCAAAGGAAACCCTCCTACACTGTTGGTGGGAATGTAAGTTGGTGCAGCCACTATGGAAAACAGTATGGAGGTTCCTCAGAAAACTAAAAATAGAATTACCATATGATCCAGCAATCCCACTCCTGGGC